TTATGCACTCCCCTTTGACTGCTGTTTGTTTGGTTCAAATTATGGGCTCAAGGCCCACCGTGTGGACTGTTGGCTGTACCCTTGCCTGTCTGGATTACACCCTCCCTGTTCATTATTTTTAACTTTTGTTTTGTATAGTTTTTGTATTATATTTTTCTTGTGAATTTATTTTAATACTATTTTACTATTTTCTTTTTAGAATTTAAAGTATTATTTCCTTAGAATATTATATATCATATATTTTAATATATAATGTATATTATTAGAGTTTAGTATTATATATATGTTATTTTTTTATATAGAGTTTATATAATTTTTTTTCTTTTCATATTCATAGTATTTTATATTTTTCTTTTTTTAGAATATTATATGTATATATTATGAGTATATAGTTTTATATTCTATTTTTCATATTCAATTCCTTTTAATTTCTTTTAGAATTTATTTTTTCTGTTAGAAGTTTTATTTCAATTTTAGAAGTTGGATTTCATTTCTCATTTGTTATTAGACATTTTGTCCCATTTTCATTTGTTTAGGTCGATGAAGAAATTTCTTTCGATTCTCCGTCAACTTATTGATGAGAAATGAAGGATCCGAGACCGACTTTTTCTCCTCTTTCTCATTTTCAACTTTATTTTATTTGTCACATTTTTTTGGTCGATGACGACATTTCCGTAATTCATTACCAGTCAAATTATTGATGAACAATGTTGGATCCGAGACCACTTCTTTCTCTCCTCATTTCTCTTCATCTTTCGACTTTATTTTGACTTTCTGTGATCGATGAAGTCTTGTATCCACAAGACGAGATCCCACTGTTTTTGGTCCGTGCGACATGATTCATTTGGAGAATGATCCTCAATATTGTTTCTCTATCTTGTCCATAGCACGAAAATTAATACGCGACCTCTTAAAGTTTGACTTCCCTTATAAGTTGAGCTATGACGGTTTAGCGTCACATTGGTACAAATTCGAAGCATCATCAAGGATCAAAAGAGGAGAAGATTGGAATGGAGCTTGCGCATAATGTCAAGGGTCAACGGAATCACTCCGTTCGGTAACATCTTTCTAATTCAAGCATTTTAATCAACCGCCGAGCGTTGTGAGTTCTAAGAAATAGGTACGTGGGAAATGATGAGTGGGGGGCCTCCTTTCATTCGTCTAGAGTGTTTAGTGTATACCCTTTGGGAAATATGCGACGCATTCGCTCCTACGCCTTAGGTTCTAGCGTGTGTGTCCCGAGTTCCTTCCCGTTTAGGCGTGTCTTGGCCTAGTTCCTCTTTTCTCTCACCCCCGTGCGATCAAAACTCCTTTCTCTTGCATCCTGGCGATTGAGATCCCCTCTCTTGCCCCCGTGCAATCGAGACCCCCTTTTTCTCTCGCCTTCGTGCGATCGAGACCGTTTTCCATAGTTAGCCGAACTACGGCTGCTCTGATATCTCATATCAGTTGAGAGTACGTAGGCATATGATTGTGATAATCCTAGCGAGCACTTTTCCTTTTCCCCCCCTTAGGTAACCCGTACCTTTAAACCAATGACATACTACATCCATTCTACCGCAAACAGGTAACTCCTAAGTCTCTAATGGTCGAGCAACAATACACCTAACTGATAGAATGCGTGCGCTAGTATCGTCAACCTTTTCTCTCACCCTCGTGTGATCGAGAACACCCTGTTTACCGGTAGTTAGCCTGAACCACGTTTTGCTCTGATTTCTCGTACCAGACGAGAATACGTAGGCACAAGACGCGACGTCTTGGCGAGCAATCCCCCCGTAGTTTCCCGAACTACGTTGACTCTGACTTTCCCATTACACGAGGGAATACATAGGCATAGGACGACGATTTCCTATCGAGTCATTTCTTTCCGTTCTTTTCAGTTTCTTCCGTTAGCATTAGCAGCCGTAGATAGTTTGTTTTCACCCATAGACTAGACAACAAGCGTGGATCCCGTCGAGTACGACGGATGTGAGGGGTGTTAATGCCTTCCCCTTGCGTAACCGACTCCCGAACCCGAGATTTGGTTGCGATGACCTGTCTTATTCCCTTTTCGTAGGTTTTCTCTAATCTTTTCCTTTCCCTCTCTTTGGGATAAATAACGAACAGTGGCGACTCTTCTGTCTTCCGCCGACTCCCTCTTCGCAGCGATGCGACACGTTTTATATACTTTAGAAAATTTCGGAGATACATCTCCGGAATGTTTCCGTAGATATAACTCCAAAATTTCCTTAGTCTGTTATTTTAATGATTTTCTTGCTTGTGTTGTTCTTTTTGTAAACTAATTATATGGCTAATTTTATCTTGCAGGCATAATGGCTGACAGAGTTGACAAACCGAGACTTTGACGGGTTTCTCAGCACTCATCTGTTCGGCAGGAACGGAGCCAACAGGTTCCAGAGGTAGCAAGTACATCTGTTCAGGAAGAGGAGTCAACTTCTAGGGCACAATCTACTTATAGGACTCGGGCTTCACCTTGGGCCATTCCATCTACATCTTAGGCCACTTCACTGTTTTCTTCTTCTTCCCGTAGAAGATAGGATGTAGCAGCTGATGCGTCACTTCCCTCATCCTCCTGCAAGCGTCAGAATGCTCTTGTGCCACCTATGGCTGATCTGGTGCCACCTCCCGCTGATGATCCTACTAATCAAATTCCACCTCTAGAAGGTGAGGTTGCTAATGGCAAACCAGAGGAATTCGGAGGGGGTCCATCTGATATGTCCCTACTTCCTATGTATCCAGACCACACTGCCAGACATATTTGGGACGAAGAGGTAACATTATTTTGATTTTTTTATATTTTATTTTACGTTAATTTAAATTGATGACATTGATTATTTCTAACTTTGATTATTATTGACATTGATTATTTATGGAAAATCGAAGGTGTGTGATCCTCAGATGTCTCTGATCCATAGGAGGAAGATTTTAACATTGCATCAGCTGGATGACTAGTGGTTTCAATCGGTTCTGACTGCTTCTAGGTTGAGTGACCTATGCATGACCGGTTACAATATAGTCAACCACGGGATGCTTAATGCATTCGTGGAGAGATGGCATTCTGAGACGTCTTTTTTTCATCTCCCGCATGGTGAGATATCTATCATACTGGACAATGTCTCGTCTTCTTTAAATATCATGATGAGGGGGAAATTCCTCCACCATGGTAGAATGACCAAAGACGAGGCGGTCGAGATGATGGTGTAGCATCTAGGGGCTGATCCAGGGGACGCAATTGAGGAGGTGGATGGGACCAGGGGTGCTCATGCTAGGTTTGAGTTCTTGAAGAAGATATATGATGATGAGATCGTTGTTGCACAACAGGTGACCTTATATATGACTCATGCTTTGAGGGCATATTTTATTTATTTGGTTAACACTTGTATTTTTGTGGATACGAGGGCCACCTATAATGACGTTGCATACCTCCGGTACTTCTTGGATCTTACACGGATCCGTGAGTACAATTAGGGGACGACTTTTCTGACCTATCTATATTCGAGGTTGAGAGATGGATGTCGATGGAGGTCGAAGCAGGTCCTAGGCAGCACACTCTATTGGTGGTGATAATTTTTCATCCTTGAATGTTTTATTATCATTTCCATTTTATATTTGCGATAATTCTTGATCCCTGAATGCTTTTTATTTTCATTTAAAGCTTGGATCCTCTAGCACTTCCCGCACATTGCTGGTTGGGCGTGTTGGGATGAGTACATTGAGGAGATGCCTTGTGCCTGTGCTTTTATCCCGCTGAGAGGGAACCAAGAGGTCGAGCCTTTTAGAGTCTATCTTGACCACCCACTTCAACTGCTACATGGATCACCGTCAGACGCGATCATTTGACGATACATCACTATACTCTGGATGGTTGGCCTACATATCGCATATCACTACTCCTCATCTGCCTGAGCACGTCATGTGGCAGTTCTGGTACACCTAGACCATCCCCAGACACCCTATTGTCTCTACTTCTCCTACATTGACTCGTATACAAATAGATGAGATATTTGCTGATTATCAGAGTCATCTGGTACCAGATGAGGCTCAAGCTACCATAGCGTCAAATGACTGGAGCTACGTGGACGAATACATCAGGTGGTTCTTCACAGTCTCACATCCGTACATGGTATCGACTGCTCCAGGATATCCGCAGAAACCAATTCATCAGGATATTATAGAGGAGTAGCAGACTTAGCTAGATCATACCGAGGATATATTGCCTTGGTGTCATCGCATAATGGAGATTGCGCGGACATACATTGAAGATGATATCTTCTTGAGGGGTTTGTTGTCAGGCGAGTCCTGTATGCCATGGTGGCGGAGGCACAAGGGGCACTATTGTACCGCAGATATCGCGCGAGGACGGGTGGATCGATGGCCGAAAAGAGGTTATAAAGCACACCCAGTATGAACCTGTTATTATTTTGATGTAGTACTATAGTTTGTACTTTTTTTTCCTGACATTGTTACTACATTTTGAATTTCATATTTTACGGTATTTTACTATTATATTTCTATATTATTTTGTATGTCTGCTATTTTATTCGACATCGTTCTTCATAATTCATCTGAAAACAAATACACAATGCATTATAAAAAAAACTTTTTCTGATACACTTCGGAGATGTATCTCCGAAAAATTTCTATAAATACATCTCCAAAAATATTCAAATAAAAATGGATTATGAGATATATACTGTGAGCGCTTAAGGTTTAAATAGTTTCAGAAATATATCTCTAAAATATGTTAACAATGGTGGATAAAAAATGCATAGGCGGAAAAAAGAAATTCTCTTACTCATTTGTAAGATGTGATTAAGTAAATTGGGCCTAAAATGAATGGCCCAAAATAAAAAGTGAAAACCCTTGAATTGAAGCAGAATAAGTAGCTATAGTGCTGTTGTTATCCCTTTCTCTATCTAATCCAATTAATCTCTCTACACACTTCACAGTGATCACCTCTTCCACCGAGTCAAATCCCCAATCCTCTCCAAACTCTAACCATGGCTCCTGGTCCAGTTGTTGATGCAGTCACTGAGCCCGAACTCGCCCAACAAATTCCCGTTGTTGACGAAACTACCCTCAAGAAGAAACCCCAACCCGAGGTTCTTACTTTTTTTTTTATTCATTTTGATTTCTTCTATCACTTGCTTAGATTGAATTCGTTCATTTTTTTTTAGGAAGACGATGCTCCCATTGTGGAGGACGTAAAGGAGGATGACAAAGATGATGATGATGATGAAGATGACGACGACGACGAGGACGATGACGACAAGGAAGATGGCGCTCAAGGTTCATATTCATTTCTACTTTCGCCTTTAACCTTATCAATTTGCTTCCAATTGCTTCCCGTTATTATCAACGTTTAATTAGAGGTTTACTTAGGTTTAGGGTTTTGGGATTTGGAGTTGTGTTCTGTTATGTATATACTCATGATGTATATACTCATGAGATCTAACTTTTACATCAGATATGGAATAAGGGATTTTCATTTATAGAGACAACCATCAGATATGGAATAATGAATTTTCATTTATGGAAACAGTAGTTTTAATGTCTACTCAGATTAATGTCCAATTTGGTGGTACAAATTGCTAAAGATTGAAGAAGAATGATTGTGCCTGCAAAAGATGAAATCAGTTAAACATTTGACAGTCTTGCATTAATTTTATATGTGAATGTATGAATTGAGTCTTAAACACAATATCAGTTTTCTATTTCCCTTGTCTTATTCGGGTTATTCGGGTTGCACCTATGGGATAAAGTAAGTTTGGTTGTTGTTGAATATTCGGATTGCAGCTGTGAGTTTCAAAGATTGACAGTTTGATATTTGACATTCTGACCGTTAAACCTTCTGTTTCCCAAATCCAAAACAAATAGGTGATCCTGTTAGACACTGAATGGGTGGTACCTCCATTTTCTACATAGTTGGCGACTTATGTAGCCTTTGCCTACAATGATTCCTCCCACTGAGTTCATTTATTGCCACTATATTGTTTGGGGTTCTTTCTGTTGATCGACATTTCATATCTGAACTATCTAACTATATTATTATCTTTATAATGTATGTATCAAAAATCAATGTACACTATAGTGACTATAGTAGTTTGAACACCAGTCTCGTGTCATAAATAACTGTTGCAAAATAGCAGTTTATATGTGGACTTGATTACTTTCCTCTTATTTATATTAATGCTAATTTTACTATTATTATCTGTGCTGTATTGCATTTGTTTAGCATTGGCATGCTATGTTTTGATATATTTAATCTAATCAGTTTTGTTGGACTTTGAGATGCAGGTGGTGCTGAGGGTTCAAAGCAAAGCAGAAGCGAGAAGAAGAGTCGAAAAGCAATGCTGAAGCTCGGACTGAAACCTGTTACTGGCGTTAGTCGTGTCACAATCAAAAGAACCAAAAATGTTAGTTGTTACATATATTGCTGTGGTGATTTATGTAAATTTATGGCTTCTAACCAAACTATTTTCTATTTTCTGTCTCAGATTCTTTTTTTCATCTCAAAACCCGATGTATTCAAGAGTCCAAATTCTGAGACTTACATTATATTTGGAGAAGCAAAAATAGAAGACCTGAGCTCTCAGTTGCAGACGCAAGCTGCTCAGCAGTTTAGAATGCCAGATATGGGATCTGTAATTGCAAAACAAGATCAAGGTGCAATAGCTGGTGCACAGCCTGAGGAGGAAGAAGAGGAGGTTGATGAAACTGGTGTTGAGCCCCATGACATTGATTTGGTCATGACACAAGCAGGAGTTTCCCGGACCAAGGCCGTCAAGGCTCTCAAGACTCACAATGGAGACATTGTTGGTGCCATTATGGAGCTCACTACTTAATTGGGTTTTGTTAAATTGGCCTGTGTTCTATTTGTATTTTTTTTTTGAATTATTTTTGAACTAATATTATCTTTTAATCTACGGTAGCTACAGACCATGTCACCTTATCAAGCGTCTGTATGTCTAGGTTTACCATTAGTCTTGTGCTTCATAGCAATCAAGGGGTGACATTAAGATCACGTGTTTTTTTTTTACAGAATCACATGTTTGTCTGGTGATTGTTTTTGTTTTACCTTTTCTTCCAATCTTCCGAATGGCTCATTTTCCATTGCACCAATATTGTACATGTACAATGAGGTGTTGGTTAAGTTTTATTTTTAGATTTACAAAATTAAATTAACTTTTTACAATGTTTACTGTTTTACCAATGTTACCTGTTTTTTGAATTATAAATTAATAAGTATTTTTTATGGAGTTAGACTCCTTTATCCCAAGTCTCACATGCCAATATGTACGAGAAAACTAGTTCTAAAAGAACCAGTTCTAAATGACTGCAAATATGGATTTTTTTTTTCCCAAGTACCCCAATTTTTCAAAAAAATTTCTAAAATAACCACTTTTCTAACTATTCCGAAATATCCCATTTTGGAATGGAGGGTATTTGATTGAGAGAGGCTATATATCAAATGGCGATCTTTAATAAAGGTTAATAGCTGTCGTTAATTGATTGGAGACACAGGTTAAGAGCTGTCGTTAATTGATTGGAGACACTACACGTTATTGTCAATCTAGTTGGCACCACAATGTAAAGTTTTAAAGAATGTCGCCAATTCAATTGGAGACAAAGTGGAAAGTGCAATTTTTTGAACATAAATAACTAACATTAATATTTAATTAAAAATAATATTACATAAATTAATGTTAGCGACCAGATTGGTCATACCGACCACCGGTTCCACATCCTCTATACACCCTCACTCGTTGTCCTCATTGTTGATTCACTCCAGGTGTTTGAGGAGTTGAGGTTTCAGGAACATTCCCAGCAGAATTCTTGAGAATTTCTTGCATTTTCAAGAAGTCTTGTATGTTGAAACTGAGCTTGCGACCCATGCCAGAGTAATTCGGATGTGATGAAGGGGTCATTGGTGTGCGTCCTGAACGATTGAAGTGGGACATTGGTGTGAAGACTTCGTTGGTGAAACGTTAAAATGGTTTTGGTGTTTGAAAGCCATAAAGTTGTTGTGATGTTTGTGTGTGTAGGCTATGGTGTGATGTTTGAGCGTTTTGGCTATGGAAAGAAATTTGGGTGTTATGACTATGGTATGATGTTTGAGCGTTTTGACTATATCTTGATGTCGTGTTGGGGGCATATGCATTTTGGATGTCTTGATAATAGTCATTTTGTTGGAGATGGTATGCAGGACACTCTTGGTATTGTGGTTGGGTGTTTGGCATGTTTGGATGGTGGATTTGTGTGTTTGTGTGTTGGTAATTTTGTTAGGTAGGAGGTTGTGAGCAACAAGTCCGATAATTTTCTGGTGGGTTAGACGTTGAAGCTTCTTGTTTGTAGGTGGTTTGTCGTGGGTCGTATAGATACCTCTATTCGGAGACAAACTCAATTGCAACCGATCTGTACCAAGCCATATAAGTATTAGCTGGTATAGACGGGTTGCCATCACCGAGTCACGTAAGACATGGGCGCGGCGGTTCCTCCATTTACAACACTCAGATTTAGCAAAATCTTTCCAGTTGGGATAGTCCCATTGATCACTAACTTTTTGTATATACCATTGACCAAGGTCAATCAGGGGATCTGGGATGTTTTGATGCATTCCAAACTGTAGTTTGACACGCTCACTGTGGTGCATCTCCACAGTGGTAAATTTGATGATCGACACGCATGCAGTCCAAACGGCTGCATCCTCCTCTCTGACTTCATGTAGGTGTTCCATGTTTAGATATGGACGTCAAATGAACCGAAGAAGAGAAAAATATCAGATCATAAAATAGGTGATATAAAAAATACATTGATTCATTTAGTGGCCTTACATCTCCATGTGTAAGGTGATCCAAGAGATTACGATATTGAATGATACAATGTCTACGACATCTATTGTAACTCATACCGCGATCCGACCATCTAAACAATAAAAAGTTCAAATAAATTAGTTAGACACAATGATTAGTAAGGTGAATTAATTAATATTAAGTTATTAATTTACTTCTGTGCATACGAGAATGAGAAGCTGTTGTGGTTGACAGGAGCTAAGGATGACAATCTAGACCAACCCCATGCTTGGAGCAAAACGGCGCATCCAGAAAATGTAGATGTATTTTTTTCGCGCAGTTACACAAAGAGCTATACAAATAAGACAAACAAGCGGAACCCCAACTATATTCTCTTATTTTATCTAGGTTTCTCAATAAGGGTAAATACATAACGTGCATAGTAGAACAAGTACCTTTGGGAAATAAATATGAACCAAGTAAAAACATAAGATAACATTTGGTTTTTATTATTTTCATTTCTTCGGTAGAATTTTCATCTAATATTAAACTGATGTACCATGCTTTGAGACGTGAAAGTAAGATACCTTGGCCTTCTGGATTATGATCCAGCAAGTCGACACCTAAAAGTTTCTCACAAATTAAATTTTCAGAGGTTGTTTTTTCTTGACTGTCTTACCATAAATACGACAACTTGAGTAACGTGTACATATCCTCTAATGTCACATTACATTCACCAGTTGGAAAAAAGAAAGTGTATGTCTCTAGGCGCCATCTCTCTTGTAAAGCTAGTATAAACTTTGCACCAACCGACTAAGATATGATTTTCTTACATGTCTGAAATCGACAAGCTCAATATAAACTATAATTAATTCATCGGTGGGAACATATTCATGGACATGAGGACGAAACCGAGAGACATCCTAAAAAAAATAAACACGTATACATTTACACATTGTCAATAGAGAAAAAATAAACACGTACACATTTACACATTGTCAATAGAGAAAAAAACACTTAGTGAAGTAAACACTTACATAATTCTCAATGTTAGCGACAATGCCTCTGTGCATTTCACCCATTGTCGATAGAGACATTATATCTGATGCTATAAAACTAGTTGATTATCTCTAATACTAGTGACACTCTAGTTGATTATCTCTGATTAAATGTTTCTGATGATGCATTCCTAGAACATACTTTAGATGAATTTATATAGGAACATATGGACATGCATGTGAGTAAAGTGTCAAATGAGTCCAGCAAGGTGGCACCAATTGAATTGGAGACCATGTTCAAGATGTGAGATGTGTCGCCAGTCCATGTGGAGACTCCTAGGCACGTGAATCTAAACATAGTCTAAGACATAGAGACATGCATGCATGGCAGGCTGAGTATGACATGGCGATAGTGTAGGATTCAGACTATACCTTGTCGCGAATTTGAATGACGCCATCTCTCAAGAACACAAGGCTGTCGTCAATTGATATGGAGAGTGCATTAAATGCTCCATGGATATTTAATCTGTCCCATGCATTCTGATTTGCAACAAACAAGTTCACATACAAAAAAATATAGTAACTGGTTAATAAGAAGTCTCTGATGTCATCTGCATCGAGATAAATTGTTAACGCCCACTAAACCGGAGAGACATATGTCTCTGATGTATTTGGGTTTGGTTTTCAAAACACTGATGTTGTGCGATTCACAATCAATAGAAATACAAGTTTCTTGTATTTTAAAGATAGATTGGAATCAAAATTAGGGTTTCATTATATATCACAAATTATATATCAAACCCCGTTTTTTTTTTGTGAAACCAACCACGTTAAATTTGATCCACTTAAAGTGTGAGCTGATAAAGATATTGAAAATATGTTCATTAGTCATGAACATTCTGGTTTCAACTATATTGAGTTGTATACTTTACTCTAACAAAATATTTCATCTCAACAATCTCAGATCATTGATCAATCAGAACGTGCAGATTCAGATGAAATTGAAGCGGAAGACTCTGATGAAACCGAAGCGGAAGTCAACGTTGATGATGACGAAGAAGAAGGAAGCAAAATACTGGTCAATCGTCTGTTGAACAACACCACTAAAGATGATGATCGGGTGCCAATACCTCCAGGTCATGTATAATGTCTGCCTTAACATATGATAGACTTGGACTTGCATGACGATGAGAAATCCTTAGATATTTTTTATAACCCGTATATATAGTCAGAGAATGAATTAAAAGTGGGAGACAAGTTTCGTACCAAGGAAGAATGTGTACGAGCCATTAAAAAATATCACATGGATAACTCTGTTGATTTCAGCGTACATCGAATTAATTCGAGAAGGTATGTCATTATTTGTAGTAATGAACTTTGCAAGTTTCAGCTTGCTGCGTCTTACAAGAAGAGAAGTGATTCTTGGAAGATAGCTTCAAGAGAGCCACCTCACAGTTGCACTGTCACAAATATTGTTCAAGATCGCTAAAAATTAAGTGCAGAATTGATATGTCAAGATATTTTTCCGCTTAAGAATCTCAGAACACATGTGGCTACACAAGCCAATCTTTGTTTGATTTCAGATAGGCGTGCTGCTCTTAAGAGTGTTTATAATAACCATAATAACGGGTGGCATAATCCTCCTTCTACCCATGCCTATTGCATTAGACATATCGCACAAAAATTCATGCATGCAATCAAAGACAAGAACCTTCACAAAAAGTTGTTAATTCAGGGTATGCTCTAACTCAACCATCATTTCAATACTACCTTAACGAAATTAGGATGTCAAATGCTGATGCAGGAAGATGGTTGGATAACATTTCATTGGACAAGTGGACAAGGGCATTTGACGGTGGATGTCGTTGGGGCCACCTAACAACAAGCCTTGTGGAATCCATGAACGACATCTTTAAAGGAATTAGAAATCTTCTAATCACCGCATTGGTAAGATCAATCTATTATAGGTTGACATAAATTTTCGCAACTAGAGACGAAAGATGGAGTGCAATATTAATGTCGGGTCAATTATTCAGTGAATGCATAATGAAAGTG